TTGTTATGTTATCGTAAGTATAATGAAACTTTTTTTGTCTATTCATAAAGATAAATAAAAAATATAACTACTTTAATTTTTTTTAATAAATGTGTTGCATAAAAAATCTATAAATTTTCATGTTTCATGAATAGGATCACGTTCCATGAATGGGGAAATTAACCTTAAGTGTAGTAAGGAGAAACCACTGTAGGTATATATAGTAGTATAGCTGAGCCGATCTATGTCTGCTCCCGCGCGGTCGAGCAAACGCTGTACGGTGACATATACTATTATTCATGTACTATGGAGACATTTACATGTGATTTTCCGTGCCTGCACGCGTTTGACAACGCATCAGGATATTTTATTTCAGTATTTAATTCTGCTATAGATTTCTCTCTGTTTAGGTACAGACTTGTTACCAGTAAGAATAAGCAATAGCTGCAGTTGCTGCACTGTTGCTGCATGCATATATGTATACATGTATGCACGCATCGGCTGAATTAGTTATGAATGTTAGTGTATCTTGTACATAGTACAGAGGTCAGCTCGGTGAGCTGCTCGCCAGCCAGCAGCAGCACTGGACTGTGTATGTATTGGTACAATTTACAGCTGCTGGAGATAGGAGAGAGATACCACCTGACTATGTCGCAAAATAATGTCAGTTTTTAGAAAGTCACTCTTCAAGCTGGAATCCCAAACGTCCCATAAAAAGCTTTGCTTTAATAAACTGCATGGATTCCGGACAAAAATTTTTTTAAATAACACGTTTTTTATTTTGAGAAGTGTCAAAAATAGATGTAAAATATATAACTACAAACATTTTGCATTATGTGGCAACACACTACGGTGTCCTATTTATTGAGTCTTGGGCAAAGCCGTAATGGGGGGGAGGGTGCTGCTAGTACTTCCATAAAATTATATGGCAGACAGTATAATTATCATTATAAATATACCTTCTATGAAACGATATTGAGTACAAAGTTGGTGCAATTACCGTTGGAATAAGTATGCCTACGTTAGTTGGGTGTAGTTTCAATTAATATTTTAATGTTTAATAAATGATTTATTATAAACAATACATTATGGCACAATACAATATAAACAATACGTAGGCTGGCCTACATCTCCAACGTCACACTCACGTCTGACACATATGCTCAATTCCTACTTTACACGTTTTCCTAGTCCATATTTAATACCTGAAGTATATTTGTATTCAAAAGATTAGGAAAAACCGTCCTGTAGTACTGTTTTCTTCAATAAGGTAGTAATACATGCCAGAGAATATCCCTTCATGACGTTCACTACACGGAGGTTTTTTTGACAGATATTATTCAAACGTCAAACGTATATTTGAAATAGCATAAGAAATACCCACACAAAATTGCAGATCGCTCAACTGTACCCTTTTTGATATGTTTAGTTTAAAAACATTGTAATTTAACATGTAATCTCATAGAAAAATCACTTAGAACTGCATTTACATGATCCGTAGAAATCTCTCAATTTCTGTTTGTATGAGAGATTACTTTTAAATAAAACTTATAAATTTCTAAATAGACCAACAAATTTTATTTTTTAATAATAAAAGAAAGAAGGGGTCAAGTATACGTAAAAGTGCGAGTGTAAGTACATCTAAAAGAGAAAAATAATTGCCAGCGTTGCTGCATATATTTGCGGTCCTTTCTCCTCTCTGAACTTTTCTCTCTCTAACTATGTAATGAACGTCCTTGAGTCNTTTAATAATAAAAGAAAGAAGGGGTCAAGTATACGTAAAAGTGCGAGTGTAAGTACATCTAAAAGAGAAAAATAATTGCCAGCGTTGCTGCATATATTTGCGGTCCTTTCTCCTCTCTGAACTTTTCTCTCTCTAACTATGTAATGAACGTCCTTGAGTCGAAAAATCATCTCAATCACGAATAGAAAAATTGTGAAAGAATAAAACGCAATAATAATTAATTATTGCTTTTATACAGTTAAAAAAATGTTAAATAAATAAATGATAAGTAAATGAATATTCATTATTCCATGAGAAAGCTGCTTTGGTATAAAATACTAATTTCTGTGTATTTGAAAAAAAAAATTTAACTTAAGTTTATTAAATGATTTTGTCACTAATGTAATTTATAACTAAACCAAATTAATTATTCAACATTAAACAAAATTTAAACTTTAATTAATAGTAAACATTAAAAATAAGTTATTAACCACACCATAACAAGAAGTAATCGAATTCCTTTCTATGAGACCGCTCATAGTGGAGTGGGTTTGAGTCTCGGCTAGTGTGCAGGAGGTCGAAGGTTCAATTCAAACCCATTTAGTATTGGTTAAAGAAGGAGAAATAAAATAATTCAATCGGATTCAAAATGTGTGCTATAATATCGTGTGGAGGAGAAAGGAGCAAAGCGGTACGGCAAGGGGGTTGAGCCAAAGGGAAAGGAACATGCAGAATCCTCGTCCGTTGCACAGTTTTTCAAGGTCAATAATCTAAAATCATTGATTTACTTTCACGCATAACATGCCTGTTATAAAATAACTTGAAAAATTTCTTAGACCTAGTAATAAAAACTTTTATCACTACAAATAAAATCTTGTTGCTATGAATTGCTAATTTTTTTAATGAAGTATATGCAAGGAATGGTGTGGATGACGCATGTGAATTAATATGTATGTTATTAAATATGTATGGCTCTCCGTCTAAGAACTTGACGTGATAAGCATAAAAATGTGTATTAAAAGAAATAATTAGTAATTCCTGAACTTAGAAAAATGTATTATTTTAACAATAAAATATTTTACAAATCACACCAAATTTTTGACCATTGTACGTGATTTTAAGCACTCATACTCTTGACTTCAAAACCCTTTTCAAGAATGTACGCGTTTTTTAATGTATTTACGGTAAGTTTATCAATTATATTTGCTAAGATTTTATTAAGCAATGGTGATGCGTTTTCTTGATAAACTAATCCTAATGCATAATTACTTGTAGGAACTATTGAATAAGCTAAATTATAAGCCAGCTGCAATTGGCACCTAATGGCAGCAGTTATTGGCAAATTAATGTAATGTAAAGTGGTGATAACAGTATTTTTTACCTTTTTATCTTTTCTCTCACATTTCGTAGCAGAAAAATAAAAAGCTGAACCGTTAAAATGTATAATACCAGCATCGTGCGGTAGTTAGTGCAATTTTGTTTTTAACTTACCACAAATTTTTAATATAACTAATTATAATTTCCTACATGAGTAATTGAAACTTTAATTTGATCTCTTCATAAGGTTGTAAGTGTCAAGATAACGATAATTTTTCGTAAATGTGAATATAATTTTCAGGATTCGTTTTCCAATTAAATTAAATTGCCATTTATAAGTCCCAAAAAACCACCTAAAAAGAGGAATTCAGAAGCTGATTGTTTAATTTTTAGTAATAATTTGAAATCTTTCTTACTTTATGTAAAATTTAGAAGTTAGAATTTATTTTTTGTTTAGATGCCTTTGTAATTAGATGTTTGCATTCTGTGATTAAGCATCCTCAAAGTATTGCTTTGCTTTAAATAAGATTCTCAGATACTTTTTTGATAGTGTAAGCTGCAACACCCTCGCACAAATCGTGCATAACATCCACTGTCATGTTTTCAACCATTGTAAACTTATTAGTTTTATTGAATGCGTATTTTTCATGCATTTCAATCGCACCTAACTCATTGTTTGATGTTGCTTTTTTATAATCATCAACATTTCTGAATATATTTTCATCTTTTCTGGTCATGACTTTACATTTTTTATGAGTAGCTAAGCATATTCTGCAGTAATATTTTACCGTAAAGCTTCTAAAAAATCTACAAACAGTGTTTAAACCGAGATTATTTTTAATTATTAACATGCACTTCAAAAAAACTTAAATTTTTTTATTGTGAATACTGAGTTCTACACCTTTCTCCGATGAATGATTTGTTTTATTGATTAAAATAAAAAATAGTAGCTCATTATATTCACACAAACGCAAATAAAATTTTTTAACGCTCGTGACTTCAATACACGAAAAAGAAGCGAGCATCGTCTAGAATAAATTGTTTTTTTTTTTGACACAGCATACGACTATTTGCTACGTGCACAATTTTTAAACAGCGCTGCCTAGGAAAAAAAACGAGAACTATTGGCATCGTTTAGCAGAAGGCAACATTCGCGATACGTGTTTGATACACCGTTGAGACTACAACGGGAAAAGAAATTGTTGCAAATCATAAGGTAAAAACATGGAAGGATCTTTGTCATTGAAAATCCCCTACCACGCTTTTTAACATTAAGTAATTAACTTATTAGATTGTATTAACATCAGATCAGTAACTTTTTACGCCAGCCTAGTAATTGAAATTTCTAGCCCCACATTTGTCACGACAAAATTCATGCTAAGTATGTATGTCTGACAACAGCAGTATGCGTATGCAGTGGCTGTGATTGGTGTTTTTCGCTTACCATCGGTAGCTTTAAAAAATCAGTGGCATGTGCAGAGTAAGCAGTATGTCGAATCCGCTGCTTACTGTACATAATATACATATATACATACGTGGCAGTAGATCAACAAAGCAAGAATGTGTATATATACACAGACTAATGAAGCACAACTAGCACAACAGCTAAAAGACTCTTTTGCGCATGCGCTATTTTGCACTGTTTGAAGAAATACTTGGTAGTCGAAAAACACCTGCCAGGCACTGACATGATTCTGACTTGTGGCTGTAGGATATTTATAATAACTCATTCATTTTAGCATAGCTTTTATGCTGTCATAATACGGGTAATATCCTTACCACGTACTGAAAAGCTCATAACTGCTTGTGGTTGGGGATTTTTAACGAAAAAGGTCTTTCCGTGTAGCGATTCAAAATATAATCAAGTAATAATTCACACATATAAATTTCTTAGCACTTTTTTTACCATAGCAAACGTTATCCACGCAAGTAAATCTTTCAAGCTTGTGAATTTTTACAGATAAAATGATTTTGTTTACAGTCGTGCCATGGATGTAAGAATATTAATTTGCTTCGCTCCTATTTCCTACTCAACTAATTTTGGCCCTCAAAAAATATGCAAAAGAAAAGCCTTAGCAGAATCTCATGTAAAACTTGTAGAGGAGTAAAGGAAAATGTTGGTTTAATCACAGGCAGTGTCATCAGAACAACATCCGTCACCGAACATCCATATACAGTGATATTAGAGGTAAAATCTTAATAACTTTGTGTAGACTGATTTAGTATGTATGATTGTAATTCAATTATAAATTTTTTTAGTTAAACGATACATGACTCGTGATACATTATGATTGCAACTGCATTTCTAGCCAAGCTCATAAATGTAAGCACATTTATGCTGTAATTTCTTTTGTAAATGCGTAAAGAAGTGTATCAAAAACTTTAGATGTACAGGAACGGGGCGAGCCGACTCATGCTCAACTAGGTATAAATAGTTATTCCAAACCCCTAGTTATTTCTGATGTGTTCGAAAAAAAAAAAAAAAAAAAAATATTAAAAAACTAATGATCTTGATGGCGTAAACTGTACTTTCAGAAATATTTTAAGGATCGTACATATGATATAAAATAAGTTTTTTATACGTAATATTTTAAAAGAATTAATAAGGAAAGTTGTCATGAAATGTGAAACTGCAGGTGTCAAAAGTTGTGCAATTATCTTAGTAAATATGTCGAACTGTAGTGATTTAAATTGTGAAACTTTCAAATTTTCTTATAATAATGAAAAGAGGTTTTATGACAAGTGTATTTGTATGAATGAAGATGAGGTTATCGAATTATGCATAAAAACAGAGAATCAAAACAACAACAAAAGTGGCATGAATCTTGATAATTTCGAATCATTCAAGCTCAAAAGCTCATAGAGTAAAAAGTATGACCAAAAAAAATGTAAAGAACTTAATAATGAGTTTCTGGAGAATGATGATGAGAAAAGTACGATATCAATGGACTACAGCTTAGTTAATGAAAAAAGAGCCAGTAGTGATAACACAAAAGAAAAAAATTGTATTGTTAAAAGTGTACGTGCATTTGTGATACCAATGCAACCACGGTTGTATGTAAGTCTGATAGATTAGTTGTAACGAATGACCAAGTTGTTGGACTATTGGAAGTGAAATTTCCATTCAGTTGCAAAAACAAGCCAATTATTGATCTATTTATGTTAAGTATCTGCACTATGAAAATGACAGTATGACTTATAATATAATCTCATCAGTATTACATACAAATGCAACTGCAAATGTATGCTACTGGTCTCATGGAATGTAACTTTTATGTTTGGTCTTCCTGTGGCAGTTGTTTTGTGGTGTACATAGGGATGATACATATTTGTATCAATTGTTAAATAAGTTACTTTTGTTTTACTTCAAATTATTTTGACCAGCTTTGTTTGGTAATTAACTGCAATTTTTTATCAAATTAAATGTTTCTTGTATTTTTACTGTGTTAGTTTTACTATGCATAGTATTAGTAATATCTTTACGTAACTTTTAAAACAAAGACTGATGTAAACTGATGTATACAATTTTAATTACACAACAATATCCAATCAACTTTTTACTTTACTACTAAGTATGGCCTTCCTTGGAAACAATAAGTGACTATAAATTATCGAGGTTACAGCGCATAAACAAAATATCATCTGCATGAGCTAATGTTTCCAATATAAATGATTCGTCGACAATCATATAAATTCATATACGTTGCATTATATGTTCAATGTGAATTCTTACATTGGCAATTTTGTAACTCTCTTCAACCTGTTCATCTGTAAAATGATGTTCATGCAAAAAAGGAGCTATAACTTCTAGTACATCTTTACCACTGTTGTCTAAGGAAGCCCTTATCTGTAAAAAAATCTTATCAGTAAGAATAACATCACCAGGTTCTAACAAAGTTAGTAGTCCAGATTCCACAGTGATTTGAGAGTCTGTTGTTCATCTGCCGTAAGCCTTACTCCACAGAGAAATAAATTCACAAAATATACACCCAACTACAACTTTTATTCTAAAACCTTTTTTGTAGTGAGAGAAAACTGACCTCTTTGCTCAACAGTTTATGGTTGTTTAACGACAAACTTTGATGCATCTATTATTACTCTGCAATTTGGATTCTGGATTGAAAATATTCTGGACACAGTACTTCTATGCAAACAAAATAGTACACCTATCGCCAAAAAAGTTAGTATACTTGTCGTTGTAATTAGAAAAACAAGCAGTTTATTTTTCACTCTGGTTTTTGGTCGTTTGTCGATACTCTCATCACTTTTCAATATTATACCAGCAAGATAAGTAAAGAGGAGTATACAGTTAAATATTCAGCTTTATTAAAAATTGAATACCAAAATATGAGTTACAAATTCGAAGTCACACATATACCAAATTTAAAATAGTTTTAGCAATACTTTCGTATTTTCCGGTAATTAGTTAGTGTGGATTTAAAAGAAAACTTCTAAAAATAATAATATACTTAGAATATAAATACATACAATAATGTGTATGACATTATTATTTAAGAGATATTTTCAAGGTATAGATAGAACCAGTGGCACATTTAATTGTAGTCCACATGGTATTAAAAGTTTTTTTAAATAACAAGGACATAATAACTGAGCTTCTCGAGAGAGCCAATGTAGATGAGCTTAAAAAACATACCTTTGATAAAATATTGATTGATGTTGTAGTATTGCATATAACAGAAAAAGTAAATAGCATACACTTACGAGATGGTTTTTTTACCCGTGTTGACAACACCATGTTCCAATAATAAAATATTGTGACAGTATATATGCCTTATTTTAAGTATCTTGAATCATGCTGGGCTTAGTTGGAGTCCATTTTTTCTCAGAAAATCAATATTTTGCCTATTCACTTTGTTTATAACTTTTTTTCATAACTTTTTACCCGTGATGACCATAACATGTATTGACCATGACACCACAACAAAACCTATCGAATATCCCGACCTTGAATCTTCTTCTCCAATTGCAAATGACCTTACACGATCGGTACCTTAAAAAATTGTCGCAAAAAAATAGCTCATCTCTTAGTTCTAATAGTAATAATTCTGATAAGGAGTTTTTACCTATACCAGAGTAACAAAAAGACCGTATTCTAACTACGAAAGCTTTCAACTACTTGATAAGAGGTTTAAATTTGCAAAAAAAATCAGAGCTTTAAGGATATCGATTAAAATCGTGAAATTTTCTGGATGTTAATTAATATCATAGATCAATATACTAGGCATGAAACATTTCTTACAGAAGAAGATAGATTTTGTTTTTGCAATGACATAAAAGTTATTTTCAAAGAAATTAGAATACTCTATGTTTTTAGCGAATGGCGTTTATTCATTAACAGATCTACCAAAAGTTTTAAAGATATNTACCGTTTGAACAATTCTCGTTTACAAAGTGAAAATGTGTTTCGATACATTTCGAGTTTTTTGTAAATCACCAAATTTAGCAATGCTGATCGCACCAGAGTTATTTTCAAAGAAATTAGAATACTCTATGTTTTTAGCGAATGGCGTTTATTCATTAACAGATCTACCAAAAGTTTTAAAGATATTTTATCACACAACGGAAATTAATTCTCATCTCTTTTAACTGCTCATTCAGTACATCTTAAAGAAAATTATGATAGTATCAAAATCTGGCTTGAATGTGTAAAGTATCGCAAGTATAAGTGGCAGCTGATGAAAGATTAAAAAATGGTGGATTTTTAATAAAACAACAAAGTGGAAATATAAAGTATCCGTGTTATCTTGTTATCTGTACTATAACGGAAAATTCCGTTCAGACAATACTAAAACTAAAATTCCCCCACTTTATAAAAGAAGGAAAAGCATTGTACCAGATCGTATATTTGAAATAGCATAAGAAATACCCACACAAAATTGCAGATCGCTGAACTGTACCCTTTTTGATATGAATAATAATACGGAATGACTGAAAGTACCACCGTTGGCCTTTTTTAGGTCAATCTAACGTTAAACTAATACATTTTTAACATCATTTTCGGCAACGATTCATTGACTGCAAGACTATGAAAATCCGGCCACTATTAAGCCAGTCATTCACTGGCAGACGTCGCGAGTAGAGTTGTTTGTCGCGAAGCTGGGAACCCTCGCCACTGACGACTCTACATTACCCTCTTGACTCTAAGCATTCAAGCAGGAATTCCTATCTCTCTTTAAGGTCTGCGTTAGACGAACCTAAAAGTANATTGTGATTAACATTAGTATACTATACTGACGAGAAGGGACAACATCGGGAGTGGCCAATCATCCGGAGGAGGAATCAATTCAAAAAACAGAAGATAAGTACCGCTGATAGGAATACCAAAATACCCACGAAACTGTTCACGTGAAAGTACTAGCATTACTGACACTAAGAACGTTTCACTCCTCTCCTTATCACTTCTTAATCATTTCATAGAAATTATGATATACATTAATTATTTGTAGTATAAGTCATACTCCGTGTTTGATACCAAGATAATTGATATTTATGTACTTCATCTCATATTTAAATGAGATCGTATAAATACGTCAAATTTAAATTTGTACATATCCATGTAAAGTTCCTTCTATACAACACACACACATAAGTATCAATCCACATCTTGGTATAATAGTAAACAAGGCCAAGGCCGTTTTAATTCCAAGAAGCTCATCGGCAAGGTATGCCGTTGAACTAAATTAATACAACAGTAAATAAATCTCCAAGGTGTGCAACAACCTTGAAGAAGCTATAAAAGCTTATATTTTTTTGTACTTATGGGTAGAAGAGCGGATGCTAAGCACTATATTCAACGGTCCTGGTCTGTAAGAACTAAACTGTGTGTTAAAAAACAAAGTGGAAAATTTGAGGCGATTGCTGAAGCGAAAAAAGTGTTAATGTCGCCTCTTCACATTAGGTAAAGGTTAATGAAACAATTACTGTAAAAAATAGATGAAACTTCAGAAGCTTTTGCATACTTAAAAAGTTGTTTCCAAATTTCTGAGAAGCAAAAGCTAGAGTTTTTGTTGGTCTACAAAAGAGATTAAGACAGATTTCTGCCGATGAATCATTGAGTTGAACAGTTTTAAGGCAGTAGTTACTAAATATCTAAAAACCACGAAAAGTTAGTTGAGAATATGCAATAAAATTTTGGGTTACTTAAAAATAGTAAGGAGAACGTTTTCA